TATTTAAGCACAAAACTCTTTCGTGCTCAAGACTCTCGCTCTTTTTACAAAAGCATTCTCATCATTATGTTGTTGCCTTTCTTGAACATAAAGTTGAGCCAGTAGGTGCTTTTGTGATAGTCCCAACTTGTGATAATTGGCAAAACTAGGTCATCCTCATCTTGTCGAAGCTGACTCTCTAGGCTCTACCTTGAAACTACCGGTCTCTCCAAAACTAAAACTAGAAGCCATGATGAAAAGAGAACATACCGAAAAAAATGGAGAGAGTGGATGAAAAAAAGAAAATAGTAAGATTAGAAAGATGAAAAGCTTTTGAGGTCAAAACTTGAAATCTGATGGAGAGCAAAAAAGCAAAAAGGTGAAAAATAAAAGCTTGAACAAATTTTTATATAGCCGTGCCTCAGATCAGATAAGCAACTCAGATTGTGCCACGTGTTATAGCATTTTTGGAAGAAGTTTTTTGGCCTTCCCCGCTTTAAATTTTGCCGCTCAAACTAGCTCTTTTCTCATTTAAAACAAGGATTCAAATCCAAACTTCTAGAAAAACGTCTAAGTCTTATAATGACCAAACGAGCTCTTATCCTAATCTCAGATAATCTCGGACAAATGACTCATTGGCAACCTTCAAATTAGTCATGCACTTAACCTAAAGCACAAACGCAAGATCGAAATCATGTCAGGATAGCTTAAATCGTCTCACATTGGGCCGTAGAAAAAAGCCAATTATCTCTTGATGTAGACCTCCATACCGACCTCAATCATAGGAGATCAAATCTCTCTTGGCCCTTTTTAAGTTGCTGACCTATGCTAAATGAACTAACAACACACCCAAGAGTTTAATATTCATACTGCATGGTAAGGGGATAAAATGTTATAGGCATTTAGAGGTCCAAATGGCATAATGACCTTTTTCTTCATTAGGGGGCCCTTGGCATATAATAAAGGGTATTTCGAACATTTATACCAACTTGACCTAACATACGTAATGCCACATTAGCTTGACCATGTCACTATTACCCCTATAAACCAACTACCTCTCATCTATAAATATAGGCATCCAAGCAGTCTTATGATAGGCTCTTTCACCTTGTCTTAAATCTCTCTCATTTCTCTAATTTCGACCTCTTTTATTCTGATATTTGACTTACGTATGAGAGCACAAATGTAAGAAACATTTCTTATTTTTGTGTTTGACCATTCTCTTCCCATTTTTTGTTCTTTCAAGAATATTTTTACATCGAAACTCAACACGAATATTATACTTAAATAAAATTTTAATATAAATTAATCTTATATTTGAAATAAAAATTTATTTAAGAATAATGAACTAGTTCAAAAGTTTTTTTTTTGTTAGTTAAAAAAAAAAATAAAGTCAGAGGTTAGATAGACGAAGTAAATAATTCAGAGACAAATGTGGGGGAATTAGGTAAGATTTGGCATCACAGATCAAGCAAAGCTGTTTCCAACCCCAAACGCCGCAAACTGCCCACCGCTATAATCCCATCTGCATGTGTATGCGGCCTTGAAAGTTTAAAGCATAAGTCAAACTCTGAGTTTTTCTGTCAAGAAAAATGTCTCAACAATATCACATCTTAGTGTACTGCCTTCAATTTTCAATTTTGTCTCGGCCATAATTTTAAAAAAGTTCAATTTGACCGTCATAGAGGCTGCAGCGCATGCTTACTGAGCTTAAGAGTTTTTTTTTTTTTTTCCTAAGGAGCTCAAGGGTAACGTTTGCCTAAAACTAAAAGCGCATTTAGAGAGGTGGTAAAATTAATTTTACTAAAATTAAAAAATAATAAAGTGATGTTAAATATTATAATTTTAATTATTATAATAATTAAAATCACTTATATAATATATATTTGACTATAAATACAATAGTGAAGATGAAATAAAATATAATAAAAAAATAATCATTAAAAATATTATATTAAAATTTGTATGTAATGAAATTCGTGATATATATTTAATATTTATAAAATTAATAAATAATTAAAATTTACTAAAATTTATAGTATATATTGTGTTTTTATATTTTGTATTTATGAATTTATAATATTGTAATTATTTATTATATATTTAATTATATAAAATTATTTTTGTGTAATTAATTATATGTATAAATATATTTATTTTGTATTTATTCAAAAAAATTGTTATTTACTTGTTTATTTATTTATTATATAATTATATAAGTTTATTTATTACTTTAAATTAATAAATAATTGAAAATCCTTATTAGAAAAAAGGCAAAAAAGAAAATTATGAATGTCAATGGATAAGGTATGATAGGATAGAGCATTTCCCATCCCTATAGTTAGATTTTTTATATTATATTAATCTTCATATTTATACTTAAAAGATATTTTAAATTTATCTCCATCTTCATCCCATCCTTGCGGGTATTTAATGGGTATGAGTAATTCTCGTACCCTTAATTTTTTAAAAAATAAAAACAAAATTTTATTTTTTAAATTTTTCTTTAATTTTTATCTTGTATATTTAAGTAATTTTTTTATAAATACATATTAATATATGTTTTTTAATAAAAATATATTAATTTTAATTAATCTAAAATAATAATTTATATTATTTAATAAAAAATTTATTTATTAAATAGATATAAATATATATAATACAAGTATAGAGTAAGTACTACATTATTTGTCTTTATTCCTATATTTAATAAAAATTTAAAATTATATCCATCTTTAATTTTATACATATAATATAATATTTATTTTTATCTTCATTTGAATAAAAAATTAGATTCTTTATTAGGTATAAATAAGATTAATATCTATAGGAAGAAGGTTGGATCTAGTGAAAAGAATGTTTTCCTACTGAACCTTAAAGCTACAGTTGCAAATTGCAGGTACAGCATGGTGACAATAACTCTATCGCACCATTCTCGTGTTATCCGAATGACATAATAGAATGATTGATAGATTGTTCATTTTAATCACATCGGCATGAAACGGAGATCCAAATGAGCCCTTAAAGTGAAAAATAAATTTTTAAAGGGAGATTCAAACCATTTTTTGGATATTGGAAATGATTTTTTTTTTATAAATTTTATTTTTTGAGTTTACCTTTTTAATCTTTTTCCTTTTTAATTTTAATATGAGATTTTGTTCTTGGAAAAACTTTGAACATAAATACAAGCACAAATATGATATCAAATATTCGGCCATAAAGTTTTTTTGAAATAGTTTTTTAATTGTAAAGAACATAATTTATTCTTATTTTATAAATCTCATTTCATTTGTGCTTATAGTATATAATCACTAAATTGGTATCACGATTAATTTTATACCAATTCAATTGTTGAATTTAAGTTAAAATTAAAATAAATTTAAGTTATCTATGTTTTTTATTTGTTATAAAAAACATGAATTTAATAAAAAAAAAAACAAAGACCCATTTCTAAAAAAAACTACTCTCCCATTTTACTGTTAGTTTTTATATAATCAAAGCTTTTGTAGTTTTATTAACGTTCTCTCTCCCTCTAAAGAAAAAAAAAAACTTTTAATAACGTTAAATTCTTAATTGAGGGCAACGGATAGGCCAAAGTTACAGCTAGCAAGGATCAACAACCCGGGCGCCACCGCCACTCTTCCCTTAAATCAAGGCCTAATTCTTGGAATGTTTGGGTTTTTGTTTGTAAGTAAAATAGAGTACACTACATAACAAAAATATCGGATCAATATCTCTTACTTTTAAAAAGTTGAAGTTGACTGCTACCAAACCACATCTTTAGAAAGCGCTTAATAAATAAAATTTCAGAGGCTAAGTAATAAAATCTAGAGCTCAAACTTTTAATAGTAATATTTTAAATTAAAAACAGAATCATTTACAAATATTTTTTTTCTTTTTTCTTTTTTCCTTTTTCTCTTCTTTAATTTTTTCTCTTTTAATTTTTCTATCCACTCAAAATATGTGCCAATAGAAAGCGGAAAGTTCCTTGGATCATTAGTCAAAATCGTACAACTTGGTCATAATAAATTTTTTTGGCCGACCAACTTAGTACATGATGAAAACGAGGTTAAAATAATATTAAATTTTTTAAAATTTATCACTTTATTTTATTATATTTTCATTACATTAAATAAATTTTTAATTTTTACTTTACATTCAAATAAATTATTAAATTTTAATTTATATTAAAATAAATCATTAATTTTTAATTCATACATAAATAAATTTTTAATATAAATAAATTTTTTGTTTAAAATAAGAGTTTATTTAATACAAATTAAGGAATAAGGATTTATTAAGATGTAATAAAAATATAAAAGCTTATTTAAATAGAATGAAAGCCCTTGAACTATTTTAATTTTTCGAAATAAGTCTTTTACATTTTTATTATATCAAAACAAACTTTTATACATTAATTTTTACGTAAATAGACATTTATTTTAAATAAAAAATGATTTATGTTAAAATTTTGATTAGGTACATTTTAAAAATTTAAAGAGTTATTTAAATATAAATATAAATTTAAAAATTTATTTAAATACAATAAAAATATAAAAAATTATCTAAATAAAGTTATAAAATTTAAGGAATTTTTTTATTATTTTAACTACCTTTTGAAAATGTTTTCATGCATACAGCTACTTTTTTTTTTTTTTTTTTTCTACAATGTGCATTTGACTTTAATTCAACTTGCCAATTAATACCCAACTTCTAGATTACGGTTTTGAAAGAGACCCAACTTCTAGTCTTAACCGTTAGCCTCTAATAGAAGCGTAGTGAAAGGATCTACTCATAAAATGTAAGAATGCTATGAAAATCAAATTATAAAATGCTGATAATGCTCCCTTCATGCTCTCAAATGAAATTTTAAAATTTTTGTAGCCTTATTTTATAAGTTATAGTGCAAATGAATACAACAAAAATGCTAATGAATTATTTAACTTGCGCTAATGAATAACACAGAAATAATAATGAAGGTTAGTGCTATGTTTCTTTGAAATGATGTTTCAATTTCAAAAAAAAAGAAAAAAGAAAAGAAAATTCGAACTAACTTTTTAGTAAAAGAGATAGACGCATTTAGTATTGAATTAAATGAATCAAAAGTAGAAGTGCAAAAGTGTCAGTCCTCTGTTATATATCCAACAAAGGCGTCATTAATTGTCCAACCATAGAATAGGGTAACCAGAAACTGCCAGCCTAACTACTCATCTCATCTCCTTGTTATTTATGACAATTTATTGTAGAATGGCCATGTTAGGTGAGACAGTCCTGGGATCACATTCCTTACTCTTTACATTAATGTCGATCCATCCATCTTCTTCCTGCATGAATCCCGTATTCTTATCTCATTCGTTAATGCACACCTCCAAAATTAAGAATCAAATCTTGAATATCTCTCTGTTACACCAAAGTCGTTTAAATGTAACCCAAACACTTGATTTATGAATGAAAGAAAGTTACAAAGAAAATACCTCTGACATCATACAGTGAAATTTTCATTTTTGATAAAAGAATTCTTCTGAACTATAAATTTCTAATGCATTGAAGCAGTTATATGTTTACAGAAAAGAAAATCTATAAAATCAGTAATGACTGATAAAAGAAAGGGAGCTTGGACAAATTTCTGCCAGATTACTTGGAAATTACTTTCATCCGGAAAAATTTAATCCAGTTCCTAATTAATAAATTCACCGTAATCACATTCTCCTCTTGTAAATTACCTCAATGTGTTGCCTTAACCAAAGGGATAACCACCTAGAGCAATAATTTAACCAAGTTGTTCTATTGCTTTGGTGCTGTTGACATATGTAGCACTTTTATCAAAACCCTCAAGTAAAAGAATCCGGACAGCCTCTATTCCATGTTCAAATGTAAACTCCAGCTGAAAGACAAAGACATCACCATGAAACAGTTAAAAATTTACTACCAATTTCTTTTTTTTCTTCTCTATGGTTGTGCATGACCAATTTTTACATACCCCTTCACGTTCTTGCTTATTGAAAGGGCGAAGAACAAAATTAACCGCATCCATCCTCCCAGGAGGCCGTCCAATGCCTAGAAATGTTCCGGAACTTTAACAACCAGAAAATAAGAAAATTAGCAGCATTTCAGATATTATTTTAGTGTTCTTAGCAACTTACCAATTCTTAGACGAGGAAAATCATGGCTCCCTTTTAAACGATCTATTATACTTCTCATCCTGGAAGAAAAGTAAAAAAAGATCATTACACCATAAACATATTCACTTTTTAAGGGCTTAAAAAACTCATAAAGTGAAAAAGAAAATGCTTTATTGCTGGATTCAGAGTTCAGACATGTAAAGCTCCCAGAACTGAAGGTTCCATGGTATCATTTTAAGTTAAAACCAGCATCTTAACGATGAAAAGTTAAACCAGAGAGCATCATAAGGATGAAAAGTTAAAACCACAGTTTCCATTTATTTTCTGTTACATGTTAATCTCAGACAAAATTATCAAAATTACAGCTTAAAAAGCAATTGTAAAAATTCACAGCCCTCTTTTCAAAAACCCAAAGCACCAAAATGGTTAATAATACTAGTAAAAGTGCATATTAGTTTGCATCTGCATCTTTGGACTTTATGCTGAGGGTAGTGATAAGTTTCAAAATAGAAGCTTCATAACCCAATACTAAATTTGAAAAAACAGTCTTGACATAAGCTCTGTAAGATTTAAAGGCATGATATAACAAATGCTGACAAAGAAAATACCCATTATGTCCTCCATGTCCACCTTTTGGAAGTAGTCTCAGTTTGGCAAAAGGCAAATCTAAGTCATCAAAAACCTGTCGAAGGGACAGTTAGTGCAGAGAAGGAGGGAAAGATTAGCGTTAGTCTCACACACTAAAGAGAGTAAATTACCACAAGTACTTGCTTCAATGGAATCTTGTAATATGAGACAATGGCCCCAACCTTCAAAATGTATTGAAAAACCATGCAATGACTATTAGAACTATAATAATTTCAATCAGATGAGAATCTTTGACACTCAAAGCAAAATATAGGTCATTTGAGATGGCTCACTTACAGACTCACCACTTGAGTTCATGAAAGTTTGTGGTTTGGCAAGCATGACGGGAACACTTCCTATAAATCCTGGCGAACAATAACTATCACCAATTAAATATTGCATACTGGGACATTTTCAGTTACCTGGTATAGCTAGAAAATTTACAAGTGGGAGATGAATTCATTTGTAATTTACCCACACTTTTCACTGAACTGAATAAAACTTTTACCTTTTTTTTCCTTTATTAGGCATGAACTAATTATCCATATATATATTGATGGAATCTTTAAACAATATCAATCAATAACTATGCTCAGATACTAGACTTTGCCAAGCAGGCTATCTTTGCATATGTCTGACTTTCATAAGAAAATATTGATATCATGCTTAAAGTAATGTGGAAGAAGCTTAAGGTAGAGAAGGTTTTTGGATGGTTTATGTCATGCATTCAATGCACTTTTCCAAAACAATGAAAGAAGATGTGAATTTACGAAGAATCACAGCTTCTACTGTCTGCCGTCATTCAAATCAAAAGTAAACTAGAACTGGGATCATGATCTAATAAATTTCCATTATCTAGGCACTCTTGTGTTTTTCTTCTATTCTATTAATTTGTACTAATATCTTAATCACATATTCATATTTAACATAGCAGTTTATAAAATAATTAGTTAAAAGTTTCAATTACAAAGCAAATCACAGCTAAAAATTTGTCAAACGAAAAACACTAACGTAAAACCATGCTACGACACTAGTGCATGAAGCATGCAATTATTACTTTAGGTACTGATTAGCAAATAGACCTTCAAAGCCGCTACATTCTAGTCTTCAGAGTTTACAGCAGAACTAGAATCGACTCAACCTCGAAACAAATTACTATTCCAAAATCAAAAGTGATATTCTATCATGTCCATTACCAATTCCATGAAGAACAAAGAAATTTATTCAAGCAAAGAGCTGTGGCTATTATATTTTCGCAACAACAGGTATGCAAGACTTCAAAGCATACTAAAGTCCATGAATCGAACATCAGTGAAAGTAATTCAAAGATTGAGCAAAGCTAAAGTAATCTTTTTCAAAAAAAAAATAAAAGAAAAAAAGAACACCTTTTCCAAGCAGAGCTTTAAAGTTAACGGTGTTAATAGAAATCCGTTCAGCCTCAGCTATAGCGTCTACCATCATAAAACCAACCTGTTTGAAAAAACCAAAAGCAAAAAATCAACAAAATCATTAAAAGAACATTAATTCGTAATAAAAAAAAATCAAACGACGACGTGTCGATACGTTGTGGCGAGTGGAATCGTATTTCTTGCCGGGATTACCGAGACCGACGATGAGCCACGGCTTCTGAGGAGGAGGTTGTGGCTTGGGTTTGGGCGGCGCCACCAGGGAGTCCTCCGCCGTATTGGCGCGAGAAGAATTTGTGTTTTTTATAGAAAAATTAGGGAATTGAGTCATTGTTCTTTTGGGTGTGGTAGAAAATTTGAAGGAGGTATAAGATATAACGAATGCGGAATTAAAATTTAAGGAGCGAATGCTGGAGATTGATGAACTCAATTTCATGATTTTCTGTGTTAACATATTGGTTGAAGGGTTTAGGAAGGATAGGGCAAGAACTAAGAAGAGGAGGGAGAGTTCAATTTTCCTTTTCCCTTCTACTTCGTTTGCGTTTCTTTTTTTTTTTTTAATTCTTTCTTTATTTGCAAAATTATTAAAAAAAAAAAAAACCTTTTTAAAAAGGATAGGGAAAGCGCGCCGTTGCCGGGGATCGAACCCGGGTCGCCCGCGTGACAGGCGGGAATACTTACCACTATACTACAACGACGTGGTTGCTGGTTACATGTTAATCTGTGATGATGAGTTTTTCCTTTAATATTCATTTGTCTGGCCCCTTGTTGCTTTTTCTCTCTTCATGAATCAATGGAGAAGCGCTGGTTAGAATTTTGGGTCTGAAATTTATTTTTTAGAGGAAAATTATTAATTTATTATTAATTATAGATTTTCATTTAATTAAACCTAATACATATAAATGAATAAATGTTACGTGTTGCCCCGACTTTAAAATTTTTTTATAATAAGATAGATAAATATTTTTTATATTTTAGATTTTAAAGATCAATTTTAATGTTTAATAACCAGTGCTTTCTACGTTTTAAACCTAAAAATGATGTGTTACATTTTTTTTCATTTTGTAATTTCTCTTTCAAAGATATATATTACTTAATTTTATGATTTTATAATAATTTAATTAAAATTTTTTGTTTCACACATCTTCTCATCATTTTCAATCGTATGTAACAACATATTTCGTCTTTTTAAAAATTTTTTTTTTCTCTAATAAGTATGTTGTGATTTATGTATTAATAAATTACTTCTTTATTTTTTAATAAAATATTTAAAAACATTATTTTATTAGTTATTTGAATAACGAACTTTTCAATATATTTAACTTCAAATTCAGTTAAATTTTTGAGTGATAACCTTTATTAAAAATATTTAATAAGATCTGTAGATAATTTACTATAAAAACTCAATAATGAAATTTTTAATAATGAATAATTTTATTAATAAAAGTTTAAATTGTTGTTCCCCATATTATTATATATAGAAAAAAATTTTCTTACTAAACAATGTATAAATCATATTGATCATAATTCTCAAAATCAATGTTAAAATGTCTTTTTTTTAATAAATTCAAAATTTTATCTTTTTTCATTTCTATAAATATTTATGTAATAAATTAATAAATAAAAATTAAACTATTACGCATGAATTTAAAGTACACGTAATTAAATAAATTAAATTAATTTATATATTATACAAGTCATAAATTAGTATTTTATATAATTTAATAAGCAGGTCAGTATTATTATATAAAAATAATTTTTATAAAATATATAAAAATTAACTAAAAATAATATATATCACAAATTTTAGTTAATAAGTATTGACTTAGTATAGTTAAGCACTTAAATAAAATATTAAAAATTGTTCAAATTATTTATAATCTCTTTAACAAATTAATTTTGTTAGTTTTGACTTTTAATTTTAATTTTAATTCTTATTAAGTTTTTTTTTTAAATCACGAAATTTCCCTAAATTTTATCAATACCGGAAAATTTACCAATTGAAAACAAAAAAAAGAGAGAAAATAGTTAACAAGATAAAGTTCCAAAAAGAGTGGCGCCAAAGGAACTTCCAATTTTCGGCAGTTGAGCCTTTTATCCGATTCCTTCTAAGCTAACTTCTCTTCGCTTTTCTTCTTCTTCTTCTTCTCTCTTGTTCTTCTTCAATGGGGTGCGACGCTTGTTCTTGGCTCCGACCCCTTGGCCCCATCACCATGGCCTCCCGGTCACTTGGCCAACCTCTTCCTGAGCCCATCTTCTTTTCCCTCTTTTCGTCCAAGCCTGCCATTGCCATTTCTTGGTCCATGGTGGGACCATCAAATTCTTCTTCCTCGTCATCAACTGGATCATACAGCCGTCGATGGCAAAATCCAATCCGTCGACAGCCAGCGTCGTCCTTTGATACACCTTCTGAGATCCACCGCCATTGGGTCGAAGTTCAACAACCTCTAGCTTCCCAAGGTAATCAATTCAATTATATACTTTTCAAGCAAATTGCATTGATCAATCACCATAAGCTGAATCTAGTTTTTCATGTAGTCATTTCAATTTTCAAGTGAAAATCACAAAAGCTTGATAGCAAATTTAAATGCAACAATTTATGATATTTCATGGAATTTCTCTCAAATTCGGCTGATGTTGGTATGACATTTGTGTTCAATGAATTTGATGCAATTAGTATTTTTCCTCAATCATTCAAGATGATCGGTTAATTAGTCAATAATTTGACCAGTATTTGCAGTATTTTTAATGAAAGAAAGCTTTATTTTGGGTCTAATAATTAACTTTAATGCTTAATCTATGCTCCAGATAGATTTACTGTGGCATCATATAACATATTGGGAGACAGAAATGCTTCAAAACACAAAGATTTGTACCTAAATGTTCCTTCAGATTACATAAGATGGGGCTACCGCAAAAGGGTCTTATGTGAAGAATTAATGGGATGGAACCCAGATATAATCTGTATGCAAGTAAGCTTGCTTTTGCTGTTATTGAGAATTTGTTCAAATTTAATCAAACTTTCAACTTAAGGGTGCTAGTGTAATTGCTTTAGGAGGTGGACAAGTACTTTGATCTAAGAAACACCATGGAGAAGGCAGGATATGTTGCTTCTTATAAGGTTAAATTTTCTGTTGGAGGTTTATTTTGTCGATGCATTTAATAAAAGCTATATATCCTTTAAACCATGAATTTTGACATGAAATTATAATGGCAGCGGCGCACTGGAGATAATGCTGATGGGTGTGCTACATTTTGGAAATCTGACATGTGAGGAAGTTATAGCATCTTTGATTTACTGTTTCAAAAAAATTGACTTGTGTATTTACATTTGGATTTTTTTTGCTTCCTTTGGTCAGGTTTCGACTGCTGGAGAGAGAAAGCATCGAATTTAAGGGATTTGGTCTTCGTGACAATGTTGCCCAACTTTCTGTTTTTGAGGTAGCTATGAATTATTATCTGCTTTTCTGTATTGTTGTAATAAGTGATCCTTTCAATATTTCTCAGCCTGTTGATTTGAAAGTTTTCTTTTCAATACTCACAATCTTATAGACATTTCAAACAAATTTGATCCCAGTACTCAAGAAAGTTGCCAACAAACATAATTTGAAAACTTCCTCAAAACATTTGCACAAATCTTGATCCTTCTCCCTCAGTGAGCATTTTTTTTGTTTTTTCACATTTACTTTCAGTTATTGTTTCAGCAGTGAGGCACTATAGATAAGTTAATCACCATTTGCAAAATATACTACTGTCCTTGTTTGCTTGGGCTTGGTTTACTTATACAGACTCGAAGAAAACCATATTAAAAGCGTTTGATTCTCACAGTTTTAATTCTTGCCCTTAATGAATATTGTTTTTGTTTACTCTCTTAGCTGTAATTTGTATGAAAAGGGATATAAAGCAAAATTATCAATAAATGTTTATTTATCGAGACTAGTTGACAGAGAAATGGGACAGGGGGAGTACTTAGTATTATCATTGTTTTATGCATATCATACATGAAAGATTATTGAGGATTATGCCTTCATCACAAAGGTTCTGCTTGAACTTTATATTTCAAGCATTCTATTGCTTAATGCTACTCGTTGGTTTACTCAACATTCAGCTGAAACTATTGCTTGTTACTCCTGTTTTCTGAATAATTTGCATTAGATTGTAGTTAACTACCTTTCTCCCTTTTAACATTTTCATTGTTCCTTATGCTGTTCATATAAGACTTGTTGTCTATTCTATATGTGACTTCACTAAATACAGGCAGATGTGCAGAGTTAAATCAAGAAGGCTAGTTGTTGGTAACATTCATGTGCTTTACAATCCAAGCCGAGGAGATGTGAAGTTAGGTCAAGTAAGTCTCTTTACATTATTTGTATATGAAATAAGTATTTACTAATTGATCATCATTTGAACCACAATGAAGTATACTAAATTGAATGTGCTTCTTGGAGTGTACTTGTATAGTTTTGTAAGAAGCATGTCATGCGCAACTTATACACAGTGACAGAAAAATTCTTACAAATACATATGTATATATTGATAATATATGTGTGCAAAACAAAATAAAGCATGCATATTCAAGAAGCTAGCATTTTTAGTGCATGGTATTTCCTTTATACATAGTGCAAGCTTCGTTTCTGTCCTTTTTTAATGTTCCTGATTACAATATAGTCTATACCAAATTTGTTCTCTCCTTTTGCAAATTTCCAGTTATATAATATTTTGTCATTCATTTGCAGTTTAATCTTGCAGATGCCTAATAAAGAAAGTTCCTTGCTTCATTTAACTTATCTAATTAGTTGTTTCTTTGGGATTTTTGGGTGTGTGTTGGGGGTGGGGAGGGGGAGGAACCGGGCAGAAGGGCGCTTTGGCAGCATTTTACAGTTTTTTTTCTACATTGTTTGTTTCTAAGTTAAAATACTAAATGGCTTCAGTTTGTTTGGAAACATGCTCTTGTTTTTAATTTGATCATCTTTTGTCTAGATTCGTTTTCTGTCCTCAAGGGCACAAATACTCTCTGATAGATGGGGAAATGTCCCTGTTGTGCTGGGGGTGATTTTAATTGCACTCCTCAGGTGTGCATCTAAACTTTCTTTTATTTATGTATAGTATCTGTATCACTGTGTAGTTATTCTTCTTGGTAAATGCCAATTATTTCAATTTTTATGACAGAGTGCAATATACAAGTTCTTGTCAACATCAGAGGTAAGATTCTGTTGAATTTTCCATCTATGAACATTGTTTCTTCCACAAAATTCCCTGCTTCATTGTATGACAGTGATGAAGCTAATCATATATTAAACATATGGCATGTTCTTCTTTTTGCAGCTGAATATCAAGTTGTACAACAGAAGAGAGTTGTCTGGTCAGAGAAGTTGCCATCCCTCAGAAGTTTTGGATGTTAACAGGGAATCAAGAAGTCCGTTTACTATTATGGGCAGGTACTTTTTCCCCTTTCTACACCCTACCTTTTTTCTTTAAAATTGTGTATGTTTGTGCATGTACACGTGAGAGAGATGATATTCGGTCCATGAGTTTTTTTTTTCCCATCAAATCCTTAATTACCATACATTTATCACCCAGTTGTGGTGTAACAACTTTTTTATTGTGAACTTCGACTATATACATAATACATTTCTTAAAGAAAAATTGGACTAAGCCCAATTGTTTCTTATGGGAGGATGGAGTTTCATCACTTAGAAATTTTATTCATGTTCTCTGATCAATCATATAACTAAATTTACTTCACAACCATTAGAGGAGTTCAATGTCCTCTTCTTGCGTATACATATTTATGTATATATTGTCATCTTATGTTTAATTAAATTGATGTCCATTGAGTTTGGTGTTCCTACCGTAGTTATTAGAATCTTTTTCTCCCCCTTGAGATATGGGTTCTCGCGATTGTAATTTTGTATTACTATCCTGTAATGGGTTAAATGTCTAGTTATTTTTATGTCAGTCATATTGTTCCTTTCTTTTTTCTTTTTTCTATTCCCTTAAATTTATTATATTCTCACCTTCTCATAGTTCCTGTCACCTTTTAAAATGTACATATTATTAAGGTGACAAAATTAATGCATTGAAGTGATCCAATTGCACTTTATGGAGTTAATTTTTCTGAAAATCCCTATAAAAAAATTGCTCAGCTATATCTGAATTTGGGTTGAAGAGTTATGCTGGAACACAAAATAATGTTAAATATTTTGGCTTTTGAACGACACTCAATGAGGTAGACGGACTTTTGCCCTTCTATTGAGTATTCTGTTTGACCAACTCATAACCAATTAAGGCCTTTCTCTTAAGTGTAGAATGTCGGTATCATTCACACGGAAATACACTCCATATTTAGGTGCTTTTCTCAGAATTCTTCTTCTCAAACATATTTCTTATTCTAATAGAAAATTCCAATTAATAGAATTCAGTATTTCTTATTTCAGATTTTTGAATGATTGCTGGACTGATGAGGAGGTTAAAGTTGCAACTGGAAGTGCTGACAGCCATTTAGTTGTGCATCCATTGAAGCTTAGTAGCTCCTATGCTACTGTAAAGGTATACATGCGCACATAATTAGACCTTTCTATATCAGCATCTTTCTTCTCCAGTTATTTGAGAAATTTGTGACAGTTATATTATCATTTTCTCAGGGTTCTTCAAACAGAAGGGACTTCAATGGTGAACCTTTAGCCACTTCCTACAACTCTAAGTTTCTTGGAACTGTTGACTATTTATGGTACAAGGCTTTCTGGAAATTTGTAATTGCAATTATACTGGCATCGTGGGTTGTAAAACTGAATGGACACTTAAGATTGCTTGACTTGGTACAGGTACTCAGAAGGTATCCTACCTAGTAGAGTTTTGGATACTCTTTCAATTGAAATTCTCAGAAGGACTGGTGGCCTTCCATGCAAGGTAAGAACAATAGATAACTAACTAAATCTTCATCTGACTCTCCCCAAACCTTGCAATGCAGAAGTCTTATGCACTCAACTGCCCTATTCTTTAGGAGTTTTTCCCTCTGGAGTATTTGTTATTAAATTTCTTCTGTAGCATTTTTGTCTTTGGAGATATGTTGATTATAACAGTATGAATGAGCATGTAAGTTGTTTGTGTTTCTGTTGAATGCCCCAAGGTTATCTAACGTGCATGAATTGATGAATGCATTTTTCTTTTCAATTTTAAACATTGAATTAATCAAGTAATTAAGATCTTGCAAGCAAGCAAATCTCTGATAGGATACTGGACTATATGGTACGGTAAGGGCCATAGACTTTTTGTATGCAACTCGAGCTGGCTTTTTGTTTGCAAATTGTCTTAATTTTGATTGCAGATGTAAGCGTCTGTTGAGTTCACAATAAAACCAAAAAGAAAAAGGCTCTTATTTTCTTGGAATCACTCTGTGGCTTATAAGCATCTTCTAATGAAGTGTTTGCTTGAATGTAACATTTATGTTGAAAAAAAAAAATCCTAACGTAATGTAAAAGTAATTTCTGTAAAATTGCATCATTAGTAGAATGGCAATTTAATGATTTGAAGTTTGGAGCTTCAGATTCTGAATTCCTATTTTGTCTTACTAGATATTGCAAATGTTTTGGTTCCATCAATTAGTTTCTTTTATCGGTTGAAGGCTGATAATTTAGGCATATTATTTTTAGTATTGATGTCCTGTCTGACCCTGGTTCTGTTATCGTGCAGAAAATAGGAAGTGATCATTTGGCCTTGGTTTCTGAATTTGCCTTCTCAAAAAGTACCAAAGATAATAGCCTGGCTATGTCTACAGTCCTTGCTGGAGCCATCTCAGCATACAGGGAAGATGTCAGTCTACCAACATGATATATCTTCAACCGGGTATGAAGGCTTTGAGTGGTAGACTTTGAATACATCTGTTAAGAGATGTTCTAAATAAAGCTTACTTAAATTCATAAGAAAATAAGATTTTCTGTTTGAAACAAGAGCATCCTGTTCTCCTTGTATTTTGTCTTTACAGAACATCTGGATATACGAGAATATAAATATTTGCCTGGTACCGAATTTAGTCTTGTCTTTGCTCAAGGAAAAACTTGACAATACTGTCCAAGGATTTTAAACTTAGTGATGCAGGACAAGTGTTCTCCATCACTTTAGCTAATGCAAAAAACATAGAAAATAGGACTTGTTTATAGGTATATTTTTATTTTGTTATGGTCATTAATTAAGTTTTACAGTTGAGGTTTGGGAGGGCTCATATAAACATGTTGTCTGTCAACTATAGTCATTTTTATTCGTTGCGAACTTGAACACAAATGTGAGATTTCACTATTATTCCTGTCTTCTTTGCTCTATTTTCTAACTATTTCCCTGATGCTTTATCAAAAGTGCTTGTTTAGGCTAGGTACTATTATAGGATGCTTACAAGAATTTCTCTTAACTCTTAACTTACATACACCAGGCTTTTCTTGTAAAAGCATTCATTCTATTGTTTTCAACACCAGAACATGCCTTTGACTGTTTTAATCTATATTATTCTGAGATTCCGCAATCCATGAATCTTCAACAGAGAATCATTTCATCAATCATGTAGTGCCCTGAGAATGAATATGTTTGGTGCGTGATCAGCTAGAAATTCAAGACCACTAGCGGCTTGATACAATGTGGCTGTATTGATCCATCCATTTGAGATTCCCTATTTTTTTGGATAATTGAATCGTTATTTCAACATCCAAAGACGGCAGAAATTCTGCTACAAAGTTGACGAGCTGGGAGATAAGCCATAAACATCAGCTAAGTAACTAACTTGGCTGGATTATGCCCCAGCTTCTACATATGTCATTCGGAAATGCAATAGAAGAACTGACAATAGCTTGAATATCTACTACAATCTATTGGAATATAGCTCCTCTAGTTTTTGGTCTTTCACAGTGTCTTCTAGAGTTGTGTTCCTTCCATATATATAATATATGTACGATTGAAGTGATTTCCCTTTTAAGGTGTTGATCGTCCAACTAAGTTCATCTGACCAGCCTCTGAATAAATGCAAGCGAAAAACAAGTGATTCCTGCATTCCTCCTCCTGGCAGAGAGAATTGGTAGAAGAGTTCAGTGATATACTCCCAGCCTTCAGTACAGGAAGTAGAGTTCACTGATGTGCTCCTTAAACGCCGCTACTATTCAATACCGTTGAGGTTAGTGGCGTCTTTTAATTGAACGCCGCGAAAAGCCCAATTTCCTGTAGTTCAAGATTGCTAACTAGACTGTGAAAGAAAACGTTGGCATATGCATAGGCAACCAAATTAACTTATGCCAAGGGATCTTTGGCAATTTGTCTCTCAGTTAAGTTTCCCAAAGCCTGAAGCGGGCCAGATAATTCCATCTGTATCAGTGTCCTGAATTAGATTTCTAGCAATATCCCTCAGTTGGAGGATAAATTTAATTTTCTTATTATCTTTGTAACATTATGATTCATTTTTTCATTACTTGTGGTATATTTATCTCTGTTATCATATTTTTCTCTACTACATTATCTGCTTTTAGATGTTGAATGCATCATGTCAAGGACCAGGAAAAGCAAGCAAAGGACCACCCATCCCATGCAACAATCTTAATTGATTGTTGCATGGATCTTTTCAACTAAAGAGATTGAAGTGAAGATAATGGAACTTTCTGGCTTGGTTACTTGCAGCAGCTTAATACATTCTTTTAATTACATCCAAGTTTAATTTTCTCTTTTTTAATTAATTTTTTTTCTTGTCTTCTAAAATATACACTTTTTCTTTGAAAAGATTTGAACATGAATAGTTAAAATTAAAATTTGTTTTAAAAAAAATCGATAAATTTCCTTAAATACCAAAAAGATTATTTATGCAATTATGCTTGGTTGATTTTGGGCTAAAGATGCTTAATTACGTCATGCTTCAAGCATATTGAAAATTAGTTTGTAAAATTTAGTATCTTGGTTCATGAGAAATTATTCCTCCACTATCAGTAAATTTTTAAAAAAAAAAAGTTAATTAAAAATAAAAATGGCATACATGTCTCTCTCAATTTCGTTTGTTTAAAAATTTACACTAACAATGTATAAAATACTAATTCCTTCATTCATTATGTTATTGAAATTAAAATCCAAATATATTCTTCTTAAAGAAAATATAAAATTTTGACTTCAACAAAAAAAAATATTTTTTTTTTGCAGAAATTGATTTTCAAAAAATGATTGTTGCATTTTCTAAATTTTTTGTGATTTATTGATAAATGGAAAATAAAGTAAGATTTTTAAAAATTTTCTTCATGTTTTGCGTATATGGAAGATAATTTCGAAAAATAGTTATTCGAGGTGAGGTTGGGCTACTTGTCAAACCAGTAAGTTTAGTTCGACTTGAATTAGACCTTGAACATGATATTTTAGGCAAGGATTTAACTTGATTCAATTTGAAATATTATTATATTAATTAATAATATTTTATTTAATTTTAATTTATAAAATATTTATAAGTATTAAAATAAGTAAAAAGTTATTTAATATTTTAAGTTTAAATATTTTTATTTTGAATATTTTAAAGTATTAATATAAATAATTTTTTAATAATTCATAGTATTGTTTTAAGTGTTTAATATTAATTATAATATTTTAATGTTAATTTATTATTAAAATTATTATTTTAACATAGTAAAATAAAATCTTAATAAATATTTATATTTTAATGATAAATAATTTTTAATATTTTAATAATTATGTTAATATTACTATTTGAAAAAATAACATATTTTTCAAAAAATAATCAAATAATAGAAAATACTTATTTTTTCGAATAGTGTAAATATTTTTCAAAAAATATTTTTCCAAAGCTAATTTTTGTGAAATTAACAGAACGAAATGATAAAAATAATTACAAATTTTATAAGTATTTCATTTGATCTACTTGTTTGGTTTTTATGGAAGCTAATTAAATTATTTCCCTCATTTCACATATATATATATATAAATTCATTTTATTTTAGTGTAACTTTTACATTTTTTTAACCATTAAATAATGGTTCAATCAGTAAAAGTTAATTCAACTTGAATTCTCCAGCTCACGAAAATGCATATATGATACTTTATGCTACTCATTATATTTTTAATAAATTTTTATTAATGGTTCATTACGTTACACAAATTACATATTTTATTATCTGAGTTTGTTTGAAAAATAAACTACATATATACTTATTTAAAATAGCTACAAATATATGAAACATTAAAAATTAGACTAATTTGTACTACTTTAATGAGAAAGTTTGAACTATATGGCAAATGTCAAAAAAAAAAAAAAAGTAAAAAATTTTAACATGATTTATCATGTTGTTTTTCTTAGTTATTATCTTTGAGATGCTTTAGTTAAGTAAAATTATGGAAACATTAAAGAAATTAATTAATGAGTAGTAATATTTCTTAAAAAGAAGAAAACATGATTAAATAAACAACAAAAAAATTAATAGATTGATAAATTAATTCTCTTACATGCAATATTGGGGTTATATTAAGCTTTTTTATTTTTATTTTTTTGCCAATAGGGTTATATTAAGCTTAGGATACTAGGAATCATAAACCGACTTGCAATAGCAAAAACCCTTGCCCGTTAAACGATAAAAGACTATGAACCTTTGTTACAAAGCTACTCCATCCATGCAAGTAATTTAACTCCAGTTAGGATTTGGAATCAAAACCTATCTCTACGTATGCAGGTGCTCTTCGACAGAATTAACTCTAGCAATTAATTCCTTGGTTGTTTTTCTTTACAATTATCTGTCATATTCTTGAGTTCTTTGAAGAAGTTGTGGAAGATAAATCGAAGATGTTAACTTTAAGTGATTTAAAGAATTTTGGTGATGGTGGTTCAAGGCAGAAACTGAAGAAGGAGGTTGAATCAGTAACAAATAGTGAAAGGCAGCGGCTAAGGAAACTAACTGAGATAGTGTTGGAAGGGTTTATAAATCGCTTGGCCGGGGAAAATTGCAAAGGGGCAGAGAAGATGATGATCTTTGGGAAAAAAAAGTTATCAAACGTTGCCTTGCAAGTGGAATGGAAACTTCTGTTGAAGAAGGAAAAGAAGAGTTGATCACCAGGAACAAAAAGAAGCCGAAGACAGACAACAATGAAAATACCCAGACGTCGACGACAGGCAACAATGAGAAGACCAAGAAGCCAAAGCAGAAGCAGAATCAGAAAAAGAGATTCGATCCTATATTGATGAAGCTTACTGCATTAGGTTTAGAACCACCTCCGGATATGCCAGAAGCGTTCAAGAATGTCATTGAAACCTTGGGTGGGGCTGAAATAAAGCCAGTTACACAAAAGTTTATAGAGGTTACTGATTTGAAGAGATCGCAGAATCGTTTGTCAATGACAACGAACCAAGTTAGGAGTAAGTTTTTGAGTGAAGCTGAGGAAGAAAAAGTCAAGAAGAGAAGAAAAACAGAGGTTGTCTTCGTAGAACCATGTTTTATGGTATCAAGGTTGCACTTGACCAAGTGGGATATCGGAGTGAGCTGCTCTGCTTATGTTTTCGAGACGGAGTGGAATGCTATTGTGAAGAACAATGCCGATAGTCTAAAGCCGAAGGCGGTGGTGCAGATTTCGTCTTTTCGCGTTTGACTGGAATCAAAGCTTGGTTTTGCCATGATCAAGGTTAGAGACGGGGAAGATAGTCACGTGATTAGAGTTGGCATCGGGGCGGGGCGGGGCGGTTTTTTGCTTTCCCCGCCTCCGACCCGATGCTTCAATGTTTTACCCGATACCCGATCCGTCCCCGCTCGGAGGTTGTTATTGAAAAACCCGACCCCGACCCGCCAGAATATTATTTACCCGAAGTTAATTCGATCCGACCCGAATTCAATCTACTACCTATTTAAATTTACCAAAAATGTAATAAATTATAATCTAAATATATTACAAGCATTAATAAATTTAACATAATCACTCATAAATTCAAACTTAGTACATACTATTTTTTTATCTAGTAAAAATCTCATAAATTCTCATCATAAATAATAGAATTATAAAATACATAAAATATAATAAATTCAAACTCACAAATTCTTACCATAGATGATGGAATTATGAAATATATAAAACTTAGTAAACTAAAATTCAAATATTAAACAAGAATAAGTTAATAACTAAATTTAAACATAATACATGATACAAGATGAACATCAAAAGCTTAAATCACCACAATAAAAAGCTAAATTGTTTGAACATCCTTTCATCCAACATGATAAAAATCTTTCAAGATTACAATAAATCATTCCATCATCACTAAGCTCCATATCATCATTCTCTTCTAACCACACTAGTCCTATAAAATAAAACAATAAGATGGATAAATAAATCTCATAAAATAATATATTTAAAAATAATAATATAAAAATGAATTAATTAAAAAAGATAATATTATTTACCAAACTAGTTATCTTTTTCTCAATCTCACTCTCATCAACATCTTCGTAAAAATACTTTTCTTCTAATGAAATTGACCCTACAAATAAAAAAATAAACTATTAACAAA